AAAAGATAAAAAAAAAAATGGATGTATGTCATATTTACAGACAAAAAAGATTTTAAAGAAGAAAAGAAAGGGAAAAAAGGGGGGAGAAACAAACTATCCTAATTGAGTAGCCCAAAACTGCAGCTCTTTGCCTTGGCTATTATTATGCTCAGTCTGTAGGAGAGGGGGTAGTATGGAGACATCCCTTTACATACTAATCAACATGAGTCATGTTGCATCTCAGAGGGATTTGAAGCCATCCTTGTTCCATGGTATATTTGGCCTCTCCAGGGTCAGGTAATCCAAGAAGGCTTTGACTTTGGATCTTTCATTTTATTTCCATCTTGGCTGACAGACATGATCCAAGAAAAGTACGGACCCTGTCACAGCTCTTGCAGGTTGGGCATGGCGGCTATAGTGCGTTGGAGATTTCACAGTGGTTCTCCGTCAGATTTCCCGCATCGTACCCTGGCTGTGCAGTCACAGGCCGTGTTGAGGGTCTTCTGTGGTGGAATCATTTTCTCTAATACAGTCTTGGATTAAATTTCTTTTTAATGACACTCCAATTTTTAATATACTCGAATGACTAAATGCTTATGTGACACATTTTGTCAGTATGTTAACTATACAATGGACTGTGGATTCTATGACCCTTAATTTCAAGTATCCTAAACCCGAATTCAGCAGCATGAAGAAGAACTCACTTAACGTTGTGTGTATTATGTGTTTAAAAGATTGAGTTATGGCAGGGCAAGGAAGTGTTGAGGGGCCGAGTCATTTTCCTTTCCTCCTCTCCCCACTGCAGACATCCCAGCACCATGCATTTTGCATCAGAAACTTGCAGGAGGTACCAAGTCCACAGAGGGGGTCAGTAGAGAGGAGTGGGTGAGAAAGCTGGAAGCACTACGTAATCCCAAGCTGACCCTGTGGTGTTGTCATACCCTGTGGCAGTGTTCATCTTGCAGAATCAAGTGATGGTCCTTCATTAAAATGGCCAGAGCCTGTGTGGTATGAAGACAGCCCGTTGAGTTTGCAGCTCTGCTGAAGGGCGACTTGGTGGGAGGGGGACACTTGGAGTCCTGGCTCTGCCACTCCCTAGAGCACATACGTGACCTTGGACAAGCCATTTTGGCTTGCCTAACCCTGTTTGCTCATCTGTAAAATAAGGATGGAAGTACTCACTTCACAGGGTCCTCAGCAGGTGAGCCGGGGTGTTGCCTGAGAGGTTTGGTGAGCGAACCAACGAGCCTTCCCCAGCCTGAAAACACTCTGAGAAGAACAGTTGTGTTTCCTCAGTCACCATTGCATTCCAGGCCCTTGGTACAAGGACTGAGGCAGTGGAGCCTGGGCCTGCTGGCTTTGTCCAAAGAGGTGTGTGGGATGAAAGCAGGGTCTGTGCACACTTGCAAAATGAGTTGAGTTATGGATTTCACTTTTTTCACGTGACCACGTGGCTAGCCGATTCTTCAACTTTGGATTAGAATGTTTCTAAAAGGATTTACACTAGTTTTCACATACCTAAAGGTGCCCGCTAAAACAAACGAATGTTCATATGATTTCAACTAATCACGTGATTGAATTTCCTGGCCTCCCAAGAGGCTCTCTCCAGTTGAAAGTGTTTGAAAATATATGAAAGCATCAGCTGTTCCCTGTGCACGGATTAATGATAGCTCAGTGGACTTTGTAGCTAAAAGCTTTAGAAAGAATTCAATACTTGTCCAATCCAGAATACATTGTTACATATTGTACTTTGCGGTGTTCCCCATGTGTTTTTTTTCCCTTTTCATCAAAGGACAAGAGGAATTTCCTTCGTGACCCTCCGGCAGGCGTGCAGTTTAATTTCGAGTTTGATCAGATGTACCCCGTTGCCCTGGTCATGCTCCAAGAGGACGAGCTGCTGAGCAGGATGAGATTCTCCCTCGTTCCTAAACTGTAAGCAGTGCGTCCTTCAGTGTAGTGGTACTGCGCACACAGCGTCCTTTTCATTCCCTGATGGCCTTGGTCGTGTGCTCGGCATGAGAGAAGAATAATGGTCTCTGACTATCTGTTCATAAAAGCCGGCCCTGCGGCCTTCAGCAGCCCCCCTCCCCCACCCCGCAGGGCACCCTAGCATCCAAACCCAGGGCAGACTTTGCAGGAAATAGAGGGTGGAGATGAGATGTGCTCTGCTATCACAGATAAAAGGTAGAACACATTTTCCTGCAGAAACCACAAACATGCCTCGTCTCCCCAAATCAAATTCAGGTCTTCAAGGCGCACCAGGACGTTCTTTTCAAGCTGGCGGCTTTTCCATTCGGGCTCTGCTCCAGCAGCTGTGTTCTTGTTCTCTTGCCCGAGGTTTTTCCTCCACTGACAGCTCCTCTGGGCCCTGGGAATCCCTGCTTGTCCGAAGCAGGCACAGTGTGTTCTGGGAGGCCTTCCCTGGCGGCGCCGCCCTTCCCCTCTGCTGCTGCCCCCCGGGCTTTGTGTCCCCGGCTCTTCCCCACCTTTTCTAGTCCAGTCCCTTGGACTGAATGTGTGCCATGCTTAAAGTCAGCGTTCTTTTCTTATTTTGTGAACATTCCCTTTCTCATAGTACTTACTCTTCTTACGTCAATGCGGTTATCTGACTATTCCCTGACATGAATTACAGTTTTCTTGAAAGATTCTCTTCTTCTCTGTGCCATTTCCTTGGATATTTTGTGTTTGTTTTGGGCCCTGCCTTTCATGTGGCGGGCGCTCCTTACTTGTCCTTGCACGACAACAGCGCTATATGGAAAGGGCACGTGGTGCTGTATGTTGGGACAGGCCTTTTGGACTGC